GGATAGGTAGAGGATGGATGGATAGAGGATGGATGGATAGAGGATGGATGGATGGATAGAAAGAGGATGGATGGATAGAGGATGGATGGATAGAGGATGGATGGATGGAGGATGGATGGATGGATAGATGATGGATGAATGGATGGATGGATGGCACCGTGCCGCCCAGGCAAAATGAAGCTGATTATTTAGACCACTGAATAAACGCTGAATAAAAGCGATGGGTCAACGGTGACGCATAATAAATGCGACTTATACGCCGACGCGACTTATTTATGTTTTTCCTCTTCATGATGCTTTTTGTGACTGATGCAACTTATACTCCGGAGCGACTTATATGCCAGAATATGAACCCTGAGTGAAAAATTACTTTGCTGAATTTGATAAAAAATGGCTGAAGTTGAGTTGTTCAAGCTAAAAAAAAAAACAACAGAATAACTAGAAAGAACAAAAAGCTACACGTTGGCTAAAAGCAAAAAGTAGCAACACACAAGCTAAAAACTAAAAGAAGCAAAAAGTTTGTTAAAAGTAACCAAAGATGGTCTAAACGTTAAAAGTAGAATAACAAGATAGAGCAAGTGTGCTGAAGCAGATTTCAAAGAAAACAATGTTTTAGAAGGAATTCAAGAGAGCTCAGTGCATTTCTGATAAAAATGTTAATAATACTATAAAAAACAAGTATTTTATAAAGTGTATTAATAAAACAAACACTATGTCACCCATAGGAATGCGCAATATACACGGTACACGGTAGAAACAATAGACATTTAGCCTATGATAGAGATCTGTCTTCTACCGGCTAACCGCAGTAATGCTGTGTCTGATGTAAAATCAGAGTTGTCAGATTTAATCGTTACTTTTTTTAGTTGAAAACTGTGCGTAAGTGGTGTTAAAGTACTTTCTTCGAGAGCTAAGTAGCGACGGTCGGCTTGCTGTACTCGAATTCAGACACATGCGCAAAACGCTATGTTCCGTTGAAAGTTTTTTTTTGTTGAAAGTTTGTTGGTCAGCTTTAGAGAGTGTATTTGAGCTAAATAAAAAGGGTTAAACCTGCTCTCTGATCTGTAAAAGAACGCTGTGTTTTATGATTTTACTGCGAGACCTTTTGGTCAAAGCCACAGATGAAACTGGTCACCATTTTGTGTCAGCCAGCTCTCCTTAAAGCAGAAGGAGACGCCCACTAGAGGGTTGGAGAGTGAAGTGTTTCAGTGTTCACTTGCTGCTCTGTTGCTGTTCATTTCTCAAGTGAGAAGACTGGAAACTGTTAAGAGTTAACAACATGTTCTTTTGTTTAAAACTTATGGTGTTAAGAACCACAATTTACTCAGTCAAATGACCCTCAAGTCCTCTCATCGGTTTGTTGCATGTGGAGAAGACACAATTATAAGCCAGAGACCATAATATCAGAATACATACAAGGGTTTATTAAAGCTTCCAGCTGGAAGGAGATGCTTACCGAGCCAGTCACAGAAACACAGCCATCAGAAGGTCACGTCTGAGTGAGCAATTCTACACAGAGTATTTATGCTGAAGATGGCACCCACAAATGTCACAAAACAGGTTTATTGTAGTACATGTTGCTATTTCATCTCTGTCCAGCAACAGTTTGCAGCTTCCTTATATGGAGTTGTTTATCACTATAGAAGAGTTTCTGTTACTGAAACATTCTGTCACGAGAACAATAGATGCCGCATTCCCTGTTTTTGCATCTCTTCCCTGGTTGTCAACATTCTTCCCATTTCATTCAGCAGGGAGTGGTTGCAGTGTCACCAAATCAGTCCAAAAACAAACGCTTCATTTTAAACTTAAAGAAAATCAATAGTAACTCTTATGTTTATTTTACATGTCCTTCTACAATTCCCCCTTTTGGTCTCTTGAAAAAAAGAGACCATTTTCTTTGATCAGCTCCCTCAATAGGTGTCCCTCTGCATGCTCTGGAAAAACCTCCCGAGGCAACTTAAAAATGGGTAGGAAAACAGCAGCATCATCTCATGCCCCAATGACAATGGCCAAAACTGGCGCAGTGGTCCACCTTTATATTCAGTACAGTTAAACACACTGAAATTAAACACACTGGTTCAGATTTCAAGTACAACTGTTAAAAGAATTTTCTGAGTCTGGATA